GCCATTACATAAAAAGCCAAGATTTTTTCCTAATTTCGGATTTCAGAAACATCATAGTTAAAAAAAAAGAGATTTGGGTCAAAATTAATTGGAGAAAAGATGAGGAATTTGATAAAAAGTGATCATCTTTTTTTCTTGGTGGGAATCAAATTTGTTATGGCTCTGTAAATTTATTCAATTAACATTATGGTTTAATTATAGTACTAAAATGATTTATTCATCTCCAAATTTTAAAACTCAACGGAGACAAAACAGATTTAGAAAAACTTGAAGTCTGATATTTTAGAACTATTGTTGATGTTTTTGAATAAATGATTGACATCTATTTCACAATCATCATTATCTCTATGCCCTCTTATTACTGAATATAAAAATGATTCATTTAATCAAATCATGTTTCATATCAGCTATCTTTTTCTGTTTTTGGTTTTAAAGTGAGAGAATGAAAAAAACATCATCGATCTTTTTATTCAATTTTTTTTTTTAATTAGGGTTTTACCATTGATTTATTCTGGAGTCATGGAAATATTCTAAAATCATGGAAATGTTCTGGAGATTCTGACATTCAGCAAGAATTAGAAACAAGTACAACGGGTCAGTAACACATACTTCAAGTTGACAGTATCACATATACCAAGCTCATGAGATCTCGAATACGTGGTCACCAATTTAATCCCCAACACTTAAAAGAGCAATTGAAATGATATTCCATGATATGATAATTATTGTGATATACTCCCTCCGTATTATAATAGATGATGTTTTCAATTTTCTATGTAAAATTAATTGTGTTTTTGTTGTTTTTGACTGTTTAAATTATGCATATTATTTTTTAATTGGTTGAATTGTTTTGAAATTGATGATAAAATATGCTTTATTTTGAAAAAACAGAAAAATAAATAATTTTTTAATCTATGTGCACCAATCTTAAAAATCAAGTAATATGATACAAAGTGAATCTTCTTTTTAGGTATTCAACTTCAAACTCAAACCAAAAATCAAAGCAATTAAAATCAAGCAAAAATAGATATTTATGTTTGAATTAACAAAAATCAAACTTCAAAGTCGATTGTTGTAAGAGTTGCAACTCCCACTAATGAATAACACATATAACAACATATCATTCATGTTTGTGCAAGAAAAGTCCAACTTAAATGCATGAAATCTTAGACAATGAAAGTATTTATTAAAAAATAGTCATTAAGAATAATCTCATGAATTATTGTGGATTTGATTGAATCTTGAAAGAACTAGGGTTTGGAGGAACCATAGAGATTGATTGATTAATGAATTATGACCTGTGGATTATTGTGGCTTTTGGGTTATTGTGTCTCTATGCTTAAAAGAGAAAGAGTAATGATTGATTGTTTTGATGAAGTGTGCATTATGACTTCTGGATTTCTGAATTAAAGATTTTGCCATTCTTCTGTTTAGTTTCTTACTGACCATTTTCTATCTTTATTGCATTGTTAAGATCCTGTCTGTGCTCTTTCTCGATGAAGAACCAGTAGAAGAGGGATCGGAACCGGAGAAGATCTCGACCAGTGGGTCTAGTAGTGATGAGGAGAGGGCAATTAGGGCTGTTCGTTTTCGCTCAATCCCTGATAAAAAGATGGAGTTGGACAAGCTGAAGAAGCAGCATAAACTTTAGAGGAAAGGTAAATCTCTGAATTTTTCTTGGTAATAATTGTTTTTTCAACATTTCAAGTCGATAATGCATTATTTCCTTTCCAGATGCAAGAAAGGGGATGTCAAATGTGAAGCAACTTACAGGAAAAGGCAAGTAGTAGACTGGTTGAAAACATGAAGCCTTTTTAAAACAAAATCTACTAGTCGAGCCTCTTCGTTTTAATGTCTTTAAAACAATATCTAATAGACTTTCTTGTTAATGTCTTTTCAGAAAACCTCTTTCTGGTAGTTGAACTTCTTTCTTAAGTAAACCGTTGATTGGTAATGGGAACCAAAGCTTCAGGCTTCTTTTTAGAGTCGAAAACTGTGTAAAGAGTTGACTTCCCACACTGAATACCAACATAATAAAATGTGTTTCAGTTCAAGCAAAATGGGTTTGCTCTTGACGTCTAAGTCAGAGCTTGTTGATGGTCTTTGTTTACCACCTACTGATCGAAGGAAGATTAAACCGTGTTGCCAAACCGCGTTGAACCCGTGCCTAAACCGTTGTTAAACCGTGTCCCAATAGCCGGAATTTCATTAAATTTATATGGACACAGTTTCATATGTATGGGCCGAATAAGATTTTTGGGCCGCCTGTTATGAACCCAAAATGTATAGAGGGGATATATTTTTCCTTTTTTCATGCGAAGACTCGGAGTCGGACGACGTGTCGTTTAGATCTATTAAAACGGGATGCAGTCTTTGTCTACACCATAAAAACGGGCTGTTGTTTTTTCTTACAATCATTACTCAATA